TACTTTTTACTTATTACTTATTACACATAAATGTAATTATACTAACAGACGATTTATTTTATTGTGTAATCTCGCTTCAAGGTATCCAGAAATAATACTTATTTGAAAGTCTAGATAATAATTTAATTGCATTATTATTGATTTTGTAGTTACAATGATACCGGTAATAAAGTAAAGTAAATATTTTTTTTATCCTGCTTTTGAATTGCTGAAACAATCGGCGTTTAGCTCTGATTAAGAAATAATTACACGAGTCCCCGATTCAAACGAGTAATTATACTGTCAAAGGATAAGTCTAACCGCATAATTTATGGGATTATAATGAAACATAAAAGTCAAAGGTCCTTCACAGCACTTAACAATGACCTTTCAATATCTGAATATGAAAAACAAGAAGTACATATTTTCTTGGTTATAATAGCTCTTGACATGTTTTATTCTTTAATAACGTTTCTTTGATTTGTAGCAAACTAAGCTGTCTAAGAATCAATCACATCTAACAGCTAATAAGCTTGCGTGAATACAATGATTTATGGGAAACTTTATTAAGTATAAACGAACCTAATAAGGCTTTTAATAAATTATTACCAAGAAAATAAAAAAGGCTATTGTCTTTATTGTCTGTAATAACTCAAGATCGCGTAATCGCGGAAGCGTAGTGAAAAAGATAGACGTCCTAGAAGCTGTCAAGATGTTGGGTGTAGAAATGTCGCAATCGCTTAATAAACGCCAAAAGGAAGTGACCAATTGCCAGGATTCAGGTGGGCGTAGACGGTACGTCCACGCGCTCTCACTAATTCATCGTCGTCGTGTGGCACGTTACTACGACCACACCACGGATAACGTACGCCGATCAAAACAGGCCGACCACAAACCGACAACAACCAATTTAAAGAGATATCAATTACGTAAACGTCCTCAGTTGACGATTAATGGTTCCTATTAATAAAAATCGTGATGCCGAGTTCTTTTATAGGGTAAAGTTCAAAAGTTACACGGAAAACGGGTTTAGTTCTGATTAAAAATTTAAAATAATTATGAGCGCTCAAAAGTCGGTTTTTCATAAATATTTTAGTATAATTTGTTAAGTTAGCACGAAAATGTCGATTGCATAGTTAATGAGGTAAAATAGGTATAATTAAAGTTTGATAAAAGTTGCAATTTGATTGAGTTAAAACCAACAACGTCGATAAATAATGAAATGTAATTTGTGAAACGACTACGAAATTGGAAACTGTACTTGTAAATTTCTATAATAGTACGTAACGAAATTCAACTTATCGATTGCATAGTTTCGTTGCATGTAATAAGTTTTTATGGATACTAAAAAAAGTTTCAAAACAGATTTTAAACAGGTTAAGTAAATTTATTGAAATTTCTCTACTTACATGGATGTGTTAGGAAATGTTTCGAGAAATTTTTTACTCATTATTATTTAAAATATAAATTTAATATTTAATAGAAAATAAATTAATAAATAAATAAATCGATTTAAAAAAGCTGTAATATTTGATAACGTAAGCTTTTCCTTTATTATTTATCTATCCTATAACCTACATCTAAAAAAATGTATTTGCCTGAAAACTTTATAATCTTCACGCTATTTTACACAAGAATGTTTTTGTACATCAAACTTAATATATATGTTATTTTCAAAGTGTAGGGTCAAATAACATTTTCTATATTTTCTACTTTCACCCCCTCAGCAAGTTTTGCTAGTACCTACTTAAGCTGCATTATCTCTTGTCTAAATTACTTCTAACAATGGTTACTAAACAAAATCCATATTTATGACTTAATTGCGATAGTTACTCAGTACCTTTGTGGTTTAATATTTATTTAAAAGATATTTTGAGGTCATTCAACTATGTTTTATGTATGGAGGATTTAAACTTGTTCTCTGCATCACTTCACTCCTTGACTAATTAGATGTAACAAAATTTTGCGAACCTAACTTGACTTTTGTTTCACAATCGTCTAAAATTAAACTATTTCTTTTAAATCATTTGTGCTTCTCTATGAATCAAGTGCACTAAATTTTTATCTTTAAATGATACAGAATGCGACATGCAAAAAGTTACTATTTGTTAGTCAAAAACGTCACATTGCTAATTTAGAGCAGATTATATTTTACCAGATAAAGGCAAGAAAATAAAAGGTCACAGAAAATCTGCATTGAGGATGATATTGGAAAGGTTGAACATATTTGGAGGTCATGTTGGAGTTGTCAAATGGAACATATGTCATACTAGCTTATATGATAGCGAAACATAGGCTGGGTTAGGCCCTATCGAAGAGATAAATTTGACTTTTTCGAAAGAAAGGTATTGCGCAGGATCCTTGGCTCAGTTCGGGACCAAAACGTGCGGAGGATGAGGTACAACAACGAGATGAAACCGGAGGAAGGGAGACTTTCAAAAAGGGCACTCAATGCACGAATGCAGAGAACCACGAAAACACTGAAGAACTTCTAAGCCATTGAGGTTGGATGAGAGCAGCAAAGAATAGGAGAAATGGAGACAAAGATTAAAAGATGGTCTTAATTTAGTTGTAGAGCCATAGAAGGCCTTTTGTCACGTACTCTTCTTATCAAGGATTATCATTGAAGACGAAAGTATTATTGGAAGCTTTACGCTTGCAATAATACTCAAAACTTACTTAAGATACTTGTCAAACTGATGATAATTTGGAATGAAATAATTTGAATTAATGAAATAGCATCTGTATATACAGTGATGAAGCTCAATCAATGCTTGATCGCTATGCTGTATTGGACCATTTAGTGTTAAGCACTTTAGTCGATGTATTAGATGTGTCGTAAACGTAATAAACTTCATAAAAATTAAGCGATTAATACATTTATCCTGAAGATAAATTATTCGAGACTAAATTATTATTACTAAATTATTCTGACTTTTTTTGCTATACACAGCTGACCAGGCAAAAAGGGTGTTTTGCAAAAGCAATGATACTTCTTAAGTTTGTAAATTCACTTCGAATTAATATGTTGAGTTGTTGCAATTTCTAGTTGCTCCTGCATTGAACAATTTTTTCAACTGTACGAGAATTGTTCTGCAAGTATTGTTTCATGGCTCAAAATGTTACCGCATTACCGTACTAGACACTAATATTTTGCTGTTTCTATTGATACCTTTTCTATTTCATAGATTTCACGTAACCGTAAAGAAATTTATCGGAGGTGAGACAACTGGTTAATTTCAATTGTGAGCAAATATTTTAGATTAACACAACCACATATAAGGAGCGTTGTCTTCTAATTCGCAAAATGAAATAATATACTTGATCGTTTTTCATTTTGAATCAGTCGCCAGGAGATGATTCGCAAAACTTCTATTAAACGACATTTTTAAATGATTAGTTTAAGATGTTCTACTGTTATTAGGAGACACGAGCGATTGTATTTAGCAACTCGTTATACATATACGTTTTACATTGTTAGAAGAAGCCATGAAAGAAACAAAATTTTCTTCTGGCCTATAGTGTTGATGAAAATGAATTATGCAAAAACCTTCAAAAAGGATATTCCTGGAATAACCTGGAATATTGCCTATCTCTTTGAAAGCTAATACAATTACAGTCTTGGAAACACAACAAAATATGTTAAGCAGTACTGTCAAGTAACTCATTGGTGCAGAAAGACTAAAATCCTTCTTGAAACACTGAAGTACTTACGAACTCATCATCGGATTGTTACACACTATGACATAAATGAAATATTTGGAACAGTCTATTTGGAAATGCATACAAGAGAGAGAGCTGTGAAAGATGTTGCCGTAACCACCATCTACCCAGTAAGCAGGAAAAATTTCTAGTGAGGATTGATTTTCTTATATGTAAAAACAGATAATGTTAACAAGCAGGATTCAAGATGAATTCCACATCTGCAGCTTCTAGGATAATTATTATGTCTCCAGCATCTTTTTCAAACGAAACTTTATTGATCATAGAAGTGCTGAAATATGGAGTATGCGTCTCGTTGACGTTTGGGATTCATAATGAATAATGATTGATTTAATATGTATCTTATATCGTCTTTTTCATAATGTTTTTATAACATTAAAATACCAACACTATTATCAATAGATATTACAATATCAGTAATAATAAATAATAAAATAAAATGTTTGAGTAAACTAGAAATCAGGTAATTTGGATGATTCATTTAGAATACTACAAGATAAGACAACATACTTAAGGAGTTACATCATTATCTTCTCCAATACTATTTTTTTTCCATTTTATGTCATTTTGTTAGTAAGTTTTTATTTTTGAATCAAAAAATCCTTAATAAAATTTGCTTTACTTATAATTACAACCTAATAAGAGACTTGATTGTTCAAAGTAAGCCCAAATTGTTGACCTACTTATTTAATGAAAACAACGTCAAAATTGTGGTTCAAATTTCGTACACAACCACGTCAGACAAATGTAAATAGTTTATGTTCACAATTCGCTATTACAAAATAACGAACCCACGTAAAATTTCTTTCGAAGGCTAAAAAGCCACGCCAATGACTCGTCGATGATTCGGCATCCGTGAAATTGGGCCGGAAAGTCGTGGTATATTTAGACGTTGCTCGAAAATAATACAAAATAAAAATGCGGTAACGCAATGCACGCCTACGTAGGTCAGTGCAGATTGATCTTACTCAACTAACAATAAAGTTTTTTTAATAATCAAAATTAAATCAAGAATGATTAATGTAAATAACATAAAAATTGTCTTTCTATAAAACAAAAAAAATTACTTATTACGTTGATAAATGATACGATGGAGGTAAAATGATAAAGTGAGAAAGTTAAGTAATGTTGTGTCTTGGGGAAGTTTTGAAAGATGGATCTGGATACGGGCCTTACGACGACGACCAAGTTTACAAGTGTTTCTATTTCTGGTACGTGTTTGTTTTGGTGAAGAGGCCGTGTGCGCGAGAACCCGGTGGCTTTCTTCGGGGCTGATCGTGGAAATGATGAAAACTCACCTGAGAATCGTGCGAGAAACCGGTGGAATCCAGTGGACAGGACCTGTGCGAGACACCTGAGGACCAGAAGAAGTGGGCTCGCCTTCGAGCCGGGAGGACGCCGCCCCCAGCTCCATGCCGCCCACATCACGTGCGCCACTGCAACAACAAAAGCTTCGAATTAATTTCAAAAAGAAACAAGTTTATATTAAAACTAAAAAAAAAAAGTTATCAATTTTTTTTTACTAACGTTGAAGTAACATTTCTTGCGCACTAATCGATTGCTATTCATGAACTGCGAATGGGCTTAAACTGAAAACTTGTTTTTATAAACATCGTCGTCCTACACTTTTTAGGTTCAACCAACAATAACAAATTGCACATAGATGAATCAAGAAGCTTTTCTTAGACTTCATTTTCATTAATTTATTTCGATCCATCAGCATATTCAAATTTTATCATTATTTCAATATTAATTGACACATTTACATATTCTTTGGTCTAATTATTACCAATTTATTTAATAGTTGTATAGTATAGTGAGTCATTACACATATACACTGCAATTATTTAATGGTAGTGCCTATTTCTTGATTTTAAGATTTATTTTGCGCAATATGGGAATTACAAGTTAATACCTTTTTATGATGTTTATATCTTTGCGTATATAATAAACGCACCAATTAAAATGTAATTGCATCAGGATAAATAAACTTAATTTGCCGAAGAGAAAGTTGATTACGAGTAGTGTAGCAGGTAAACAAATTGCAATCGACGTCTAGTTAACTGTCAGATAACTGTACAGCAGTCACGATATCGATACAGCTTCTAAGTGACAATCTTGCTTGGTATAGAGCTTGAGATTCAGGGCTTATTAAATGAACCGCGGAAGCGTGACATAGAAAAATAAGCTATCCGGAGCTGTTATCGCCGCGGCAGCTTTCCCGTTTGTTATTCAATTAAAATTATAAAGAGCTCTCAAAGTGTGTCTATACTTGTATTGTTTTCGCGAAACGGTGTTAATTGCCCCGAGCCTGTCACACGATTATCACGAAATAGACAGGCTATGATGCTGTTATTGCGCGCTAGATACTATGTGAATGTTCTAACCTTTACCGTTCTAACCGCTCGCTTAGAACTATATCAATGTCAAGGAATTGTAATCAAACGTCTTCGTTACTAAAATAAACGGAAGAACCAAAAGAAAAAATACTCCTCGTTTCTAATAAAAGAGAAGGGACCACGTGTAAATAATTCGACAGTCCACTGTATATAAACATGTCTGGCGTCCTTATGAAGTAATGATTTAACAACTTTATACAAGAAAAAGTTTTATAAAACTACACGTGTTCAAATTAAGGAAAAAATCTGATATGGAGCTAAAAAAACTTTCTTAGATATAATCTACAAATTGATAGTTTCCTGTTCACGACATAATTTAATCATGGAGACATGATAAAAACACGATATTCTAAATATTGGTTTTATTAAAAAGGGCAAGAAAACTACTGTTAATTTAATGGAGACATTTCAAATGGTACTAGGTCGGGCGATTATTCAATATTTATTTTTAGAATTCATGAGTTACGGACTGGCCATTAAGCCATCATAACGCGCCGTGCTATCGATTATACAATGGGCGGTTCATTAAAGGCGACATGTTCGTACGTCAACTTGTACCAGGTTATTCTATGAAACATTTATTTTCGATATCTAATGGTTAATAAAAATACAGTAAAACATACTATTAATATTATCTGTTTAATACATCAATCAGTATATTTAAATATAAATGTTAGCACGGGTTATTCCTCAAGTTGCTCTATTCCATGTAAAACTAGGGGAATACCCCGAGTTGTCTATACGATGTATAAATCAAGGACGGTAGTTCTACTTTTAATTATTATTCAAGGCTAGATTGTTGTATATTTTTATTGAGCTAAAAGTGGAAGAACACGTCTCTTAAGACGGCTTAACACGAATATTTCTAGTTCTAGGTCTAGTATTAGTTCTAGTTGTTATTCAGCGTTAGATTGTTGTATGTTCTGCATTGAACTAAAACTAGAACTAATACTAGACCTAGAACAAGAAACATTTAGGTTTAGCCGTGCGTCTGAAGACAACTCGAAACAAAAAAAAAAGTTGTTTTGAAATATCTTTATTAGTTCTTAAGATACTAAGTATTGAAGTTAATATAAATATTTACGTTTTTTGAGTAACTTAAAATCGATTTTTTGGAAAATTGTTATGAAATTTTCACCAATTACTAATTAAAACGTCTACTTTCCTACTAATAAACATGTCCGTTTTGAAATATCTCTCTCAGTTCTTAAGATATTAAGTATTGAAGTTAATATTAATATTTACACTTTTTGAGAAGCTTATAAAAAATCCTATAAAACCGATTTCTTGAAAAATAGTTAGAAAGTTCTCACAAATTGTTAATTAAAGCACCTCCTTTCCAACGATCAAGGCAGTTTTGAAATATCTCTCTTAGTTCTTGAGATAAAGTATTGAAGTTAATAAATATAAATATTTACATTTTTTGAGTGACTTTAAGAAATCCTGAAAAATCGATTTCTTGGAAAATTTTTATAAAACTTTCAACAAGTATTAATTAAAGCATCTACTTTCCAATAAACATGTCCGTTTTGAAATATCTCTTTTAGATCTGAAGATATTAAGTATTGAAGTTAATATTAATATTTACACTTTTTGAGAAGCTTATAAAAAATCCTGAAAAATCGATTTTTTGGAAAATAGTTATGAAGTTCTCACAAATTATTAATTAAAGCACTTCCTTTCCAACGATCAAGGCAGTTTTGAAATATATCTCTTAGTTCTTAAGATATTAAGTATTGAAGTTAATATTAATATTTACACTTTTTGAGAAGCTTATAAAAAATCCTGAAAAATCGATTTTTTTGAAAATTGTTATGAAACTTTCACCAATTACTAATTAAAACATCTCCTTTCCAATGAACAAGTCCACTTTGACATATCTCTGTTAGTTCTTAAGATATTAAGTATTGAAGTTAATATAAATATTTGCCGTTTTTTGAGTGACTGAGAAATCTGAAAAATCGATTTCTTGGAAAATATTTATAAAACTTTCAACAATTATTAATTAAAGCATCTACTTTCCAATAAACATGTCCGTTTTGAAATATCTCTTTTAGATCTTAAGATATTAAGTATTGAAGTTAATATTAATATTTACACTTTTTGAGAAGCTTATAAAAAAATCCTGAAACATCGATTTTTTGGAAAATTGTTATGAAATTTTCACCAATTACTAATTAAATCGTCTCCGTTCCAATGAACAAGTCCACTTCGAAATATCTCTCTTAGTTCTTAAGATATTTAGTATTGAAGCACTTTACCCTCTGTACAAATAGGCATAATCGGGTCGCATAGCACCCAATTAAAGATCACACTGAAAGAAATAGATTGTACGAATCGTATTATAGAAAAAATATTAGAGTGTGCTTGATTAGAGTTTTGGTGATAAGCACGATGTCATCCTCAATCAGTAGGATCAGAATAAGACTGATTGATAGAATTGTTATAGAACTTGTAAATCACAAGATATATGCTGTATGACTGAATGTCTTGCTTATATAAGAAACTTTCTATTTATAGGTCTAGTGTTAGTTCTAGTTTTAATTGTTATTCAGCGTTAGATTGTTGTATATAGTAGACCCAGAACAAGAAAGTTTCAGATTTAGCCGTGTATCTTCAGACGCACTGTTATATCGAGATATTACTGTATTAACAAAAAATTTACAAATTTTTCAACTTAATTTCCAAGTAAAAATTTTAACGTTTAATCTAAATTGATCTGTTTTTATATCTACCGACAATCACCTCTTCCAAGAACAAAAAAAAAGATTGCAGTTTCTACCAACCGCATCTGCACGTAGCCTAAACCGAAATTATACATCAAAATTGTGGCAAATTTCAATTTAAAAGCACCTGCCGAATTTATAAAACATCGAGACGGGGAAAAACCAAGCCGCAAGTTTCAAGTCCGATACAGTTACTCGAAATTAATTAGAGCACAAAGTAGCTTCGGAACAAGTAGTGGAATGAAATCTTTAGAACCAACAACGAATCGTAACGAACCACCGTGATTGAGCGTAAAAGTTTTTATAGTTTTACGCGTGTGTAGATAATTGGCGAAAAGGTAGGCGAGCGTAAACGATTTCGTCTTAATTAATTCTCAAATTATGATACGGATAATGAACATAAGAAAACGACATCATAAAAAAAGCGGATAATAAGAGTGAAAAGAAACAACATTTTACGTAATTTATTTTAATCTAAAGAATTTGGGATGGAATTTTAAACGTTGCAATCAGTTTTGATTGAAATACGTTTATAAGTAACGCCCATCTATCGAGTTGGGGTTAGATTATAATTTAATGTGGTCGGGGTTAATGAGAATTCCAACACATGGATCTCGGAAAATTACTAGAAATATCTTAAAAAAAGTTATATTTATGAGATATTTATAGTTCCAAATAATATCTAACCATAACTCAAATTAATTACAAATCAAGTTCGTTGAGGGTTTCAAATACAATGTTTTAAAAATTTAAGACTCATTTTAACCTTAATGGTACCCGTATAATCCCAGGTAATAGTATATTAAGTGTTACGTTTAAGATATTTTTGAGTATTTCATCAGATTTAAAATTACGAGTGTTTATTGAAACGGTTCGATTTTTTTGGTTATTAGGCGTTAAATTGTTATATATTTTTTATTGAACTAAAATTAGAACTAATACTTGACCTAGAACTAGAAACATTCGGGTTTAGCCGTCTTACGAGACGTTCGGCTAAATTCGAATGATTCTAGTTCTAGGTATAGTGTTAGTTCTAGTAACAGTGCTAATGTAAAACTAGAACTAACACTAAATCTAGAACAAGAAACATTCGGGTTTAGCCGTCTTGAGAGACGTGAGGCTACATCCGAATGATTCTAGTTCTAGGTATGGTTAGTTCTAGTAATAGTGCTACTGTAAAACTAGAACTAACACTAGACCTAGAACAAGAAAGTTTCGGGTTTAGCCGTGCGTCTCCAGACACACGGCTAAACCTGAATGTTTCTTGTTCTAGGTCTAGTGTTAGTTCTAGTTTTAATTGTTAATCAGCGATAGATTGTTGTATAATTTTATTGTAATAAAAGTGGAACTAACACTAGACTTAGAATTAGAAACATTCGGGTTTTTCAAACTAGAAACAATCAATTTTAAAAATATAATACTCATTTTAACCTTAATAGTACCCGTATAATCCCAGGTAATAGTATATTAAGTGTTACGTTTAAGATATTTTTGAGTATTTCATCAGATTTAAAATTACCCGTGTTTATTCAAACGATTCGATTTTTGGTAATGATGTTTTATTTTGCGATGAATTAAAAATAAGAGTACCTATACCAAATGAAAGAAAATATAAACAAATCTAGTACAAAATAGACAATAAAAAATGCCGATAGTTTAATTTATATTTATTTTAAGCTGTGCCAAAACTCGAAATGTAGCGTAAATTGTTTTATTTTTGGGATTTGATGTTGTACAGTGTGATTAATTGAGAATTACATTTTTTTTCTTGATTTATATGGTTATTTGTGATACATTAAGTAAAGAATTGACGTCATTAAATACTTTTTTTTTATTATAACACAATTTTGTGTAATATTGTTGCAGAAAGAAAAATGAAAGAATTTCGCTTATTTTAAAAAGATTCATTCGAAAACGAGTTTTTATTTTGTACGGGGAATTTATGTTACGCTCGTAGGAAAAGGAAAGCCGGTTATTCTTTTTGAGTATCGACGGTGTGCCGGGCAAGAGAAGCAGATGACGCGGACAAATAAGGCGTGCAGAAGGGCGATCAGGATAGGCACAACAGACACCGCGGGACATTATAAATTCAATTTGAAGGAATATACCAAGGAGTCGAGTATTCAGTCGAGTATTCAGCCGAGTATTTCGTCGAGTATCGGAAAGAAAACTGTAACCTACACAGAGAGGGAAACGGAAGAGAGGAAAGTATCGAAGATGAACGCACACCCACGATCATGTACTATACGTTTTTGGTACGTACGGTACCGTATATACCTACGTCGTTTGCAACTCAGAAACATAAAGGTGGCCTCCGTGTTCCCTCGGCATTAGATAACATACTGTCAGTGCTGGTTGTTGTGCAGCAGTTCGATACCATCGCACCACAACTACTGCCGGTCCGTACACTGAATCGAACCATTTACACGCACGTCATGCTGATCCTTGGGCTTTCTTCCTTTGCTATGTTCAACTGTCAACACAGAACAAAAAAAAATAGAGACCGCGACCGGAACGCACTTTGACCACCGATGACCCGTCTTCTTTTCGAGATACGCCCGCCCGTTTTACTTCCGTTCAAACAGTTATTCAGCAAAAAAAAGGTTAGAGGGTGAACTTAGCAATTTTCTTGTGTTCGCTATTTTTCGTATCGACATCGGTCGAGATACTTTCGACAACGCGACAAGGTGAGGACTGGCATCGCAGGCGGCACTGGATAGTGAACATTCGGCGACCGCACACGGCACCGACCCGAATGAATACGAACGCGGTCTCGGAAAAGCCCGAGGCATAGCACCTGAAGCGGCAGCAGCAGCGAAAGTGTGTGAATATCGGCTGGAAGGCGCAGTAGGGAGATGAGGCCCGGATTCGGAGGACTACTACCTGTGTCATTGTCGGAAAAAGGCCCCGGCTAATAAGGAATTATAACATTGTCATATTTGTACGTTTAGCACGTTTCGTACGACGGCAGATTTATAGTTATATGGTTATAAGGCCACGGTGGGTGCAGGTATTGTATTTTTGAATACCTTACCTAGCACCTATACCACCACCACCATCCTAAAGAAATGACAATGTAAACAGTGGTAAAGGGTATTAGTTAGGTTATCATCGATTTGCCAAGTCTATATTTGTCTTAAGTATTTTACTTTACTCATAACACAACATATTATCTGACCGTCTCAATGATATACAGCAAAATTTTTGAAAAAAAGTAATTTGAAAACTATTTTATATCATAGTATCATATTTTATTCTGTGTTAGCTGTTATAAAAAAATCTGATTTTGGATTCAATTTTGCATATGCGCAGTGATGACGATAATTTCAATTATTTTTTTGCCAAGTTCGGCCAATTCTATACACATGTGTTCCACGTAAGCAACAAGGTACATAAATGGCAATAAGGAGTCGAGATACGCAGTTCTTACTGAGACAAAAGTTGTAGGAAATTTTATATTCTGATTTTCCAGACAAATATTCAGATTTTCAATTCAGATCTTTTCCGGTTCAACTACATCAGTTTTACATCACTTTCATGTAATTCTACTTCACCAGCTAATTATTGTGGTATACCCGCAATTTCGAAATTTTCATCGTCAATTTTTTCCTTGCCGCTTTAAATTCCTTAATCACCTGATCTGGTGATTCCTTAATCAGGTGGAAGTTGCACAATATCCCGAAAATTGTTTGTTGTAGATGCTTCCACTACATTCAAAGCATCATTCGAGAAACGAAACTGTATAATAGAACACTTTTATATAAAAATCAATAAAATCATTATCACAGATTCAGAGAACAATAAAATCATTTTAAATAATGTTGTCATTTTGGGAATGTTGGCCTATAAAAGGTTAATATGGTAACATCTATGGATTTTGCAAATGTTATTAGTCTATCAGTGATATAAAAGTGTTTATCCCAGTTAATTTTTATTGCATTCGTTGAAGTGATGATTAATTGAAATTATCAACATCACTGCCTATACCCAAAATTGAATTCAAGATATGATTTTTTTATAACAGCTAACCCCGAATACTTTTAAGATAAATAGTTGCTTTTACGTTTTCATAGTATACAAAAGTTTTCAAATAGCTTTTTTCCAAAAATTTTGCTCTACATATATCATTAGGGTGATCAGATAATTTCCTGCATTATGAGTAAACTAAAATAATTCGAAGTCAATGTTATTCATACACTTAAGACATACAGGTGTCCCACGTAAGCGACAAAGTACAGTATTGGCAGTATTTTATATATGTATTATGGAAACATAAGAGCGACTAAAAAGTACTCTGGGTTAGCTGTTATAAAAAAATCAAATTTTGGATTCAATTTTGGATATGCGCAGTGATGAGGATTTTTTATAAAAATTTTAGGCCAAGTTCGGCCAATTCTATATACATGTGTCCCACATAACCAACAAAGTACATAAATGGCAACAAGGAGCCGAGATACGCAGTTCTTCCTTAGATAAAAGATGTAGGAAATTTAGCACACTATAAACGAAAAATATTTTTATACATACAGGTTGTTCCATAACGACGTACCGAAATAAACATATGTTATTTTAAATGGAATGATATAGTTTTTATTGTGTAATCTGATTCTACATACAAAACTAAGTTGACTTTGATAAGACATGTTGATACCTAGCGCTGGTATCATATTGAGTTATTTTAATTAGAAGCTTTTTTTAGCAATTAACACTGTGCCCTTCAAGTCTGAATTTACTCAGTTGTAGTTTTTGAGATATTGTGAAATTAATCAATATCATGCAAATCATGGCAGATCTTGTTCATTTTTTCATTAGTAGGCCATGAAATAAGATGATAAATAATTTTCAACTAAACTTTATTTATAAATGTTTAAATAACGAATTCAGCTTGCACGTTATCTACTGTTTCAGCAGAGATATGTCTAAAGTTTTCCCTTATTTTAATCTTCATATCATCTTTCGTCGTTGGAATATTAGCGTACCACTTGGCTTTTGTCATATCCCCAAAGGAAGAAGTCGCGGGGAGTTAGATCAGGTAATCTTGCTGGCCACGATCAGCTTCGATTGGCTTCACGTTATTGGATAGATTTTTTTTCTGAATCCATTAATGTACAATACAACAACATTAATTGTAATTGTAGTAGAGAAAAACATGAAAATAGTTTCAGAACATTCTCTTTAAGTCACTTGTGTTATACTGTAGTGTGCCATAGGAAAAAATAATCATTTACAACTGCTTCAGGCATTGAAATACCATTTAATGACTGTTATCAGTTTTGCGCGTTATTTTTGTCCATGGCACACTACAGTATTAAAGAAGTGACTAATTGTAAGACAATGTTCGGAAATTGTTTTAATTGTTTTTCTCTGCAAAAATTACAATTAATTAATGTATTGTACAGCAATGGGTTCAGAAAAGAAATCTGTATCCAATAACGTGAAGAAAAACATACGGAGCAATTTGAAAATCAACAGTTGATAATCGCTTGAAATTGAAGATGTCCTTGGAAAAAGTTTATTTGTAGCATGAATCATAGTATTCATCAAACCATTTCATTTGATACCTCGCTCATGAAAATCGGAATGTAAATGACAGAGTTACAGCTTGTGGCGTTTTTTATCTGACGTTATATAAAACGATTTGTGAAAATTTAAAATTTAAACTTCAACTCTAAAAGATTAAATTTTATAAAAGCTTATCATGATGACGCTTATTATGATTATAAAGACTGATAAAAGATTTAAATAATTTTCTAAATTTAATGTGCGATACGATAAAGTACTATTTCTAGTTAAGCTATTTGAATAAAATTTTATAAATGAATGTTTTTCGCAGTTATAAAGATAAATCGAATAGTTTTATTTGAAGCCCATGATTGACAGATTTGATATGGGTTCAGGTTAAGCGTCACTTCCGGTTGACGAATTTAGTAAAAAAATTGACGTGAATATACAGAATGATTCAAAAATCCGCTACGAACTTCTAGGGCAGGTAATAAATCAAAAATTAAGATGAAAAGTCTTAATATCCATGGAGTCGCAAATGCTTCCTTAATGAGATATAGCGTGTCAAAGTTTCTTTAAAATTAAACGATATCTGCAAAAAAGTCCTTTTTCAAAAATATTTTCAACGCCACTGCTAATTTTGTCAAACGGGCAGTATTTTCGTGTAAAGTGATCAATTATCTATATCTCGTTAAGGGGGCATTTGCGACCCGATGTATATTAAGACTATTCATTTAATTTTTCTTGTATTATCTACTCTAGAAATCTGTCAGTGCTTTTTTGAATCACACTGTATATGGATAATTTTAGTATCGCATTTACACATAAAAATACATACAGAATTACTCAAAATCGTTTAGATCGATTAAAATCCTTACTAAAACTATGAAAAATTATACATAACTCAAATAAAAGATGTCACAAAATACCATTTTATAAACAAACAGTTTTTGGCATGTGGGGACCAAAATAATAGTTTTAAATGTTTTATCTCTTTACCAACGCCAATGTAGCATGTTTGTTTTATTAACATGTTATTGCATTTGTGGTTGCGCGAGTTCGAGTTTAATGAAATTAATATTCAAAATAGTTAGTTCAAGAAGAAATGTAAGTTTGGGGTTAATTCAAGAATACATCGCTACTTAAATTATGTAACATTTCAAAGAGAAATCAAGTCTAAAATTTACTTTCTTTACAACATGTGGTAATCAGAAGGAACTTGACCTCCTCTTTTTTCAATGACAACAACCCAGGTGCGAATAAGGTTCATGCTATCCTGTTTTTTTTTCGTTAATTTGTTTGGATTTCATCAGCTCATTCGAAAACTTGATCAGAAATAGACGAGGTTACTTTTTAGAACTTTTCGATTTAACGTTAAATTCCCGCTAGATATTTTTGTTCTAGAATTCACAGATATAAGAGAATTCTGTTTTCCATTGATAAGGTAAATTATCTCCGAAATTAATAGAGATAACATGAACTGCTTTTCAGCATTAAATTTGTTAATTAATTCGATATAAACGCACTCAATTTGGTTTCTTAGACTGTATAAGTAAGCTAGATATGCAATCTTATAGAAACCAAATTGATTCAATTTAAACAAGGTCAATTTTTTACGATTAACTTTAAAATCAAATTTCTCCGAAATTAATTAATAAAAATTAAATAAAAACTAAGAAATAAATTGTTTATAAGAAGATAAGAAATGATTTTAATGGGGTATGATAGAGGAAAATATAAATTATGGGATGAAAGTTGTAGTTATAAAGAATGTTATTTTTGATGAGAGTTTTAAGAGAAAGGTGGAGCAAGAAATAAAAGCTCTAGAAAAGAGATCGAAAGAAGAAAATAGTTTTTGGTGTGAGGAAGAAAATCAGAATAATGACAATAATTCTGCTCCTATATTTTTGAATATACCTATATGCAGATAATCATTAAAATCTTACCTTTTAAATTAATAATAATATCCTCAATAATTTTCCAACATACTTAACTATGTTAAAATTAAATCGTTTTTTTTTTATATCCAACGTTGAATTTTCATAAACACACGCTTAATTAACAATTAAACAAAAATCAAACAAAACACAATTGATTTACAATATAAATTTTTCCACTTTCTTTTAAAAAATCAAATTAAGTTATTAGTACTGCTTACTGGATCTTATCGATAATACTAAAATTGTAATT